ACCCCCCTCTTTTCTTCCCGCCCTTATCCCTCTCCACCATTCTCCCCAGTCCCTTTCCCTTTGGTAACTATCAGTCCATTCTTGGGTTCTGTGCTTCTGCTGCTGTTTTTTGTTCCTTCAGTTTTCTTTTGTTCTTATACTCCACATATGAGTGAAATCATTTGGTACTTGTCTTTCTCCGCCTGCTCAGCCCATTTTTTAATAGGGTTATTCGCTTTTTGGGTGTTGGGGCTTGTGATTCTTTATATGTTTTGGATGTTAACCCCTTTCGGATATGTCATTTACAAATATATTCTCTCATACTGTAGGATATCTTTTGTTCTACTGATGGTGTCTTTTGCTGTGTAGCTTTTTAGTTTGATGTAGTCCCATTTGTTCATTTTTGCTTTTGTTTCCCTTGCCTGAGGAGATGTGTTCAGGAAAAAATTGCTCATGTTTATATTCAATAGATTTTTGCCTATGTATATGATTTCATGACTTACATTCAGGTCTTTGATCCATTTCAAGTTCACTATTGTGTATGGAGTTAGACAGTAATCCAGTTTCATCCTCTTACATGTAGCTGTCCAGTTTTGCTAATACCAATTGTTAAAATTGCTGTCATTTCTCTATTGTATATCCATGGTCCCTTTATCATATATTAATTGGCCAGATATGTTTGAGTTTATATCAGGGCTGTCTGTTCTCTTCCATTGATCTATGGGTCTGTTCTTGTGCCAGTACCAAATTGTTTTGATTATAGTGTGGCTTTGTGGTAGAGCTTGAAGTTGGGGAGCACAATCACCCCAGCTTTATTCTTCCTTCTCAGGATTGCTTTGGCTATTCAGGGTCTTCCGTGGTTCTATATGAATTTTAGACCTATTTGTTCTAGTTTGTTAAAGAATGCTGTTGGTATTTTGATAGGGATTGCATTGAATCTGTAGATTGCTTTAGGCAGGATGGCCGTTTTGGCAATATCAATTCTTCCTATACATGAGCACAGGATATATTTCTATTGGTGTCTTAAATTTCTCTCATGAGTGTCTTATAGTTTTCAGGGTATAGGTCTTTCATCTCCTTGCTAAGGTTTTCTCCTTGTTTTATTCTTTTTGATGCAATTGTAAGTGGAATTGTTTCCCTGATTTCTCTTACTGCTAGTTCATTGTTAGTATATAGGAATGCCACAGATTTTGTGTGTATTAATTTTGTATCCCACACCTTTGCTGATTTGTTAGTTGTAGTTTTGGGGTGTATTCTTTAGGGTTTCTTTATGTACAATGTCATGTCATCTCCAAACAGGAACAGTTTAACTTCTTCCTTAGCAATCTAGATGCCTTAACAAGATGAAATTTAACAGAAAAAAACAACTCTTCCCTTTAGTCTAAACTCCAACAGTGTGACCTCAGGGTAAGAGGTGGAGGGATCACCATGGCTTAGTAACAGCTTGTGTTAAGAAGATTAAGGAGGTTTAGTTGACCATGGTGAAGCCACTCATTTAATGACTGTACCCTGAGCTATGTGAATTAATATAATTTAGGCTGAAGGACCAGGGGGATTATAGACCTGCCTGGCTCTGCAGTGATCAGGCTACCCCTGGAATATGGAGAAAGAAGTCAAAGCTACATCATGTGAGTCACAGTTGGAAGACTGGAGATGATTTTCCCAAAAAAGAGAAGTCTTGGGAAACATAAACTGTTTAGAAATATGAATGGTTGTCACATGAAAAAGGGATGAATAGACTTTTCCTGGGTGGAAGCTAAAGGAGGATAAATTTTTGCTAAGCTGAATGTAGAACTTTTAAACTCTGAACTTACTGGTGATGAAATAAGTCAAAGCTACATCATGTGAGTCACAGTTGGAAGACTGGAGATGATTTTCCCAAAAAAGAGAAGTCTTGGGAAACATAAACTGTTTAGAAATATGAATGGTTGTCACATGAAAAAGGGATGAATAGACTTTTCCTGGGTGGAAGCTAAAGGAGGATAAATTTTTGCTAAGCTGAATGTAGAACTTTTAAACTCTGAACTTACTGGTGATGAAACAAGTTAATTCCAACAGTAATAAGCTTCCCATCACTGAGTCTTTAAACAGAGTATGGATAACTACTTGACACAAGGGTATTAAACAGGAAATAAAGCATTGTAAGAAAGGTTGGTCAAATAGACTTTTAGGGCTTCTTTTAGCTCTGAGATTCTGTTATTCATTGGTCCAGATATAACTCGCTGGAGCTCTCATTTAAGCATAATTTATTTTGCTGTTCCATAATTAGGTGGCAGGACCGATTGAGTTCAATAAGCAATTACTGAAACTTAACACATACCATGTCTAATGCTAGATATTGGAAGTACACATACTAATCTTGAGGAACTACCAGTTTAACGGAGAAATCTGAAAACAGATACATCATTTTTGGTAGGATAAGTGGTGTGATAGAAGCAAGGAGATTGAGAGAGAAGGGAGCAGGAAAGTTTTCCTAGGAAATAGTATTTAAACTGGGCTTTATGTGGTGAATGAAGCCAAATGACAATAAAGCAAGCTCTTAGCAGGAATTGGATATTAATTTCTGGAGATGCACTGGGTTCAGTAACATTGAGTTCCATATCCTTCAGCTTTTCTACTTTCAGATCTGGACACAATCCCTGGAGTTCAGTATGGTGACAGTGAGGCCCAACAAAATCCTCAGGGACTATGTATAGGATTTAGGTCTTGTGAGAAGTGGACATAAGAACATTAGAAAACAGTAATGGCTTCCTTCAACTTTAAAAGAAACATGAGATTCACTTTGTCCCAGTGTTTCCGAAGTAGTATGGTTGACCAACAGATGATGGAGATTGTGGTATCTTTCTCTTGGAGCAAGTTTTTTCCCAACATTATCCCAAGCCTTCCTGGAAAAGAATGTTATTATGTTTTCTTATTTCAGAGCATTTCAGAACATTTAGGAAGCCCCATGCTAGGCAGCCTAACAGTCACCTAGGCAGAAGTCCCAACTTGAAGTATATCCATTGCAGAGGTTATTTTCTGCTTCTCACTTTCACGACAGGAACCTTCACTTCATTTGTAATTCAGAAACACTTACTGAGTGCCTGCACAGTTCCAGGCACTATGCTAGATTCTAGAGATACAAAGGTAAGCAAGATAGACATAGGCCCTGGTTCTTATAAAGCAATAGCATTTCAAACTGTATAGTACTAGAGTGTGTGCATTAATAGATCTGTAGAATAAAATAGGTATTCTGGAGACAAAGCAATGGGGAAGTGAAGGATTATTCAATAAATGGTTTTCTACCAATTGGTCAACCACTTGGGAAAAATAAAGTTAGAGCTTCACTTTACAATAAACTTCATTTCTATATGGATTAAAGATTAAATGGTAAAAAGTAAAAGCACAAAACAACTAAAAAAATAAAAGTGACTGGTTATCCCAAGGTAGAGAGTGCTATTTATTTATTTATTTATTTATATTTTTTAGGAGAGCCAGGGAGAGGCTTTTATTTAGAAATAAAGTGAAAAGACAGAACTGGCTCATGCCAGGAGGGGACAAGAGAGCCTGTAGTGGTGCGTTGTCCAGGGGTTTTATAGACATTTGAGGATTTGGGGGAATGTGAAAAAAAAAGGCTTAGGGGTATGGACTTGTTAAGTGGTGTGGTCCCTGAATATTTAGAATTAACACAAGGAATTTCCCGCTCTGATGATTTCTCCCTGAGATACTGGCATCTTGGTCTGTGAGCATATCAAACACTGCCTGCCCAGCCCCCAAGGTGGGCTGAGGTATTGTCTGTTTGCTAAAGAGTAAGTGTGGGGAAGTTGGGGTTCCTATGGCCAGGATCCTCACTGAACTTAAACCACTTGATGATGTAACTGGTTGCTAGGCTACTGCTTCCACACCCATAGGCAATAAGCTATTATTGCACTACAGAGAGAGCTTGGCCCAGTACTCTGGGCAGACTCTAGTGCTCCACCTATCGCCAGGAGAACAAACCAGGTAATAAACCCTTTCACTCCAAAGAAACGTTCTACTGTCATTTCTTTGGTCACACTGAATCCATAGTGAACTTGCCGGGGGCTGAAACCCATTGATTGGCAAGACAGTAAATTAAGAATCTTACTTCTTAACTACCTGGGTATTAAAATGCAATCTTATCTTTAAGGTGGAATCCATCTTGCCTTTTACTGCTGTTTACAGCTGGCCCTGCATGCTAAATTAGTTCCCCAGTTTGCAAATCACCTCATCAGGTCTGTAGGAGGGAAGACAGCACATAGGCCTGGGCCTTTTAGCATGCTAAAGTGAATCTTACACATGATTACAAATGATCAGCATAATAAAAACATGTGCTACTCTTCTTTACCTGGGGAATATTAACTGATCTCACTGAAGAATGACTCTAGAGCTTAGAGAGTGCTAATTATTAAATGGACAGAACAAAAAAAGAAAATATGGATATATTTGACCATAAGAAATGCCACCTTGTAAACACAATTTAAAACGTACATAAACTGGGAAAGAATGTTTGCAACAATATTTGCAAAACAAAGGGCTATAGAGAATAAGACAGGCAAACATCCCAGTAGAATAAAATGAGTAAAGATTTGGACAAGTCACAAAATATATAAAAATCTCCCATAAAGTGAGAAATGTTCAATTTCATTAACAATAAAAAATGGGGAACTAAAATCGAACCTCTTAAATGAATAAAGTCTTGTTTTGGTTTTGTTTTAATAGGTAATTCTAGGGGTGAGTGAAACTTGCATTTTAGTATGCTCTTGGTTGGAGCAGAAATGTTTTAACTTCTTGGAGGGCAATCTGGTAGTAATTTGCAAGAATCTTATAATATTCAAACTCTTGCTAGAAATTCTACTTCTTAGAATATGTAGTATATAAAAATTGAAATACCAATGAAGACTTGTTCATTACAGCAAGCTTAATATATCTAAAAAAATCTAGAAACAATTTAAATATTCGATACAGGAATTAATATAATACATCCATATTTTCAAAATATTAAGTCCTATTCAAAAAATATTTAAATATGTGGTAGTAAAAATGTTTAATGACATGGTGGTATAATGTTTAAAAAGCCCAGCATTTGCAGCTGTTCAGAATTGTCTCAGTGTTATAAAAACAAATATCTATAGCAGTTCACACATACCTATATACTCCAAAGAATTGGTTACACACAATCTTTGATTTATCTTTTCACAAACAATATTTCTGTTAGCAGAAAAACATAGTAGATAATATATAGTTTATAAACATTTGCTGGCTCTAACAGTTTAGTATAAGAAAAATATTTAGCTCTCCCTAGTTTATACACAGACTATTTCCTCTCCACCAGTGCCTGAGCTACCAGCCCATTGCCAATGTACCAAGTGTTGTCCTGGTAGGCAAATGTCATTTCATCTCTTTGGTAGTGCCTCATTTCCCACGCTTTCACCCAAAAAAAAGTATTTAAATCACTTTGCATTGTCTGAACGATAGTGTACATGTCTACAAAATGAGGCTTGGACTAGATCTAAGCTATTTTTCAGCTTTGAAGTTTTAGCATAGATTCTCCTAAAGGTAATTACAGAATAAAATGCAGTAAGCTGCTGTCTGTTCATTAATTCATGAGAAAGAAACCACTGAGATAGTTATAACAAACTTCACATACTCATCTAATCCTCACAATTCTAATGTAGGTATAGTCATCCTATTTTACAGATGATGAAACTCAGGCAGAAAGAGGTGAAGTGACAATTTTCTAGGGTGATTTTTCAGATAAAGAAAAATAATAAACTTCATGACCAAGCATCTAAGAAAGAGAAAGAGGTGAAGTGACTTGCCCAAGGTTACAGTTTGTGAATGGCTGACTTAGGATTCAAGTTGAGGCAGCCCAGCTCTCGAGTGCATGCTCCTAATCACCATGTCATGCTGCTCTCACTGCAGCTATCCTGTGTCTGTCTGGGGTGTTCCAATTTCAAATAATCTTTCCCATTGTCTTCATCAGGCAGTACAATGTCTGAAAAAGCCCAATACTGTTATCTAAATTATATATTATGTATTCCCAAGGTCAGACATATAGCCACAATATCTTGGTTTACCTCTTTGTCCATATTTTAGGCCCAGATTTTAAAATAAATATCTGACTGTCTCACTGGTGAAGTTGAAGCCTTGGTAGGATTTCATGCAAGTGTTTTTTGGAGCTATGAGCATGGGTCAGGAATGTATAGGAAAAGTGATAGAGTAAGATAGAATTTGATAGATTCAGGAATATCCTCTCTGCTTCCACTTGATGCTGAGTAGAGATTTGGTTGCCAGATACTTTTTCCTACTCTCCTACTGCCCTTACACTGCTCCTGGTTAGAGAGGTCCTTCTATCTTGTTGCTGCCATTCAGTTAACCCAAGCACAAGAAATCAGTCCTAATTATTACCAGTGCAGGCAGTCATAGGGAATACAGCTGATGCAAAGGGAGTGACACTCCTGCCAAGAACCTCAGATATAAATTGAGGGTCCCTCTGGTATAAGAGAATGCACGAGGGCAGGGTAAATACCAAAGAGAAGTGTCTTAGTCTTGGAGAATCTCAGACCCCCACTACCTTTGCTTCAGGCTGGTTAAGTGCCCTGTTTGGTTCTACTTTCACCAACTCCACTTCACATTGTCCATTTTTATTATCATTAGTAGCAGCAGAAGTAATATCTTTCACCAACTCCACTTCACATTGTCCATTTTTATTATCATTAGTAGCAGCAGAAGTAATATTTTGTATTTTACAGTTTACAAAATGCTTTAACTTGCACTGTCTCATTTGATTTTCACAACAGACATGTGAAGTAGGTGATATTATCTACATTTTACAGATGATGAAAGGTTCAAAGAGGTCCAGAGTATAGTAGCAGAGTTGGCACCTGTATCAAAGTCAGCAGACTTTCTACTGTACCTTAGGAGATAATGGGTGCAGGTGTGCCTTTTTGGGGTAGGTAGAAATAATTTCTAACCTCTGATATATATCAGAATAATCTAGGGGAGGTTTAAAAAAATAGATGCATGGTTCTTACACCTCAGATGTAACAACAGGTACTGAGTTAGTGTACCTGGCATATTCAGAGTTCTTGTAAATGTATCAGCATAGTCTGAAGTCTCCTATCAAAGCAAGTAACTATTGTCTGGGAGAAAACATCTATGATTTGGCCTCTGCTCTCCAGTAATGTCTAATGTAGTTGGGATCAGACAGGTGCACATGTAAAGAAACACCACCATGAGACATGTCTACCAAAATCTAAGACCTGAGTTGTCAAGATTATCAGAATCATCTCACAGAAGAGGTGGGAGAATAGGGGTACAGAAAGACAGACACTGAGACTAACAGCCGTGGAGAGAAACAGCCTCAAAGAAGGAAATGTAAGTCTATGTGGTCTGGCAATGGTGAACATTTCTGGCAGATGTAGGAAAGGACATAGAAGGCAGTTTTGGGTCAGCGAGGTGACCAGTATGGCCAGAGCCAAGCAGTCACATGAGCAAGATGTAGAGATAAAGTTCCTCAGGTAGGCAGAGGCCATGTTGTAGAGGGCTTTCCCTGCCAGGCTGAGGAACTTCACATTAACCCTAAGCAATGGGAAGAAATGTTTTTGGGGGCGGGGGCGGTGTGTGAAGGCATTTAAAGCAGGCATGTCTTACAAAGATGAATCCAGTGGACTTGGGCAAATGTTTGTGAAGGGAAAAAGAGCAATCAGGAGGCTAATGATGAAGTAGTGTGAGATGTTAAAGTGTGAATAAAGATAGTAGTGGCAAGAATGGAAAGTTGGGATCAGGTTCTAGAAACAAAGAGAAGAGTTTTTACAGGATTGAGTGACTGAATTGAGACTCACTATATAACAAAATAGTCTCTGGAACCAAATTTCCTGAGTTCAAATCTTGATTCTGTCAAAAACAGAAGAGTTTTTACAGGATTGAGTGACTGAATTGAGACTCACTATATAACAAAATAGTCTCTGGAACCAAATTTCCTGAGTTCAAATCTTGATTCTGTCACTTACCTGTGTAACCACAGGCAATTACAACCTTTGTGCCTTGGCCTTCTTATCTGTAAAATGAGGCTAATAGTATGCACCTCAAAGATGTGAGGATTAAATTAATTTGTATAAATTATTTAAAATGTTGCCTGGCTTGGTAAATAATTAGCTATTAGAAGCTAACTGGGGTGACAACAGTGTGAGTATACCACTCTTAGCATCACAGCTGTCTGGCATGTTCTCTGCTTTCAGAGCGTGACCTGTTGGCGAGCCAAGTTTATGGAGGCTTTTTTTTCCCATGTTCTGCGTGGAACCATTGATGTGTCTTCTGACAGGCGTCTTTGTGACCAGCGTTTCTCACCTCTCCTGCACAGCTCCCGCCATGTCCGGCAGCTCACCATCTGCAATATGCTGCAGGGTGCAACTGAGCTGGTGGCTGAGCCCAACCGCAGGGTTCTGGAGACCTTGGCCAGTTCCCTGCACACCCTCAAGTTCCGCCACCTGTTGTTTTCTGATGTGGCTGCTCAGCAGTCACTTCGGCAGCTGTTGCATCAGCTTATTCACCACGGGGCTGTCAGCCAGGTGTCTTTGTACTCCTGGCCTGTGCCCGAGTCAGCCCTCTTCATCCTTATCCTCACCATGAGTGCTGGCTTCTGGCAGCAAGGCCCCGGTGGCCCACCCTGCCGCCTCTGCGGAGAGGCCTCCCGGGGCCGGGCCCCATCCCGAGATGAAGGGTCCCTTCTGCTGGGCTCACGCAGGCCTCGCCGGGATGCTGCTGAGCGATGTGCTGCAGCCCTTATGGCCTCCCGACGGAAGAGTGAAGCCAAGCAGTCGACCAGAGCTGCACCTGCCACGCGGGTAACACGCCGGAGCACACAGGAGAGTCTGGCAACAGGCGGGACAGACCCTAAGAGGGAGCTGCACCCTCCAGCCACCTCCCATGAGGCTTCTGGCCCCAAGCGGCCACCCTCTGCTCCAGCCACCACCTCCTCTGCCTCTGCCTCCTCTTCTTCCACATCCTCATCCAAACGGGCTTCAGCTAGCTCAGCCCCACAGCCTAAGCCCCTAAAGCGTTTTAAGCGAGCTGCAGGGAAGAAGGGTGCTCGCACCCGTCAAGGGTCTGGTGCAGAGTCTGAAGACCTGTATGACTTTGTTTTCATTGTGGCTGGTGAGAAGGAGGATGGGGAAGAGATGGAAATAGGGGAAGTGGCTTGTGGAGCTTTGGATGGATCAGATCTCAGCTGCCTGGGGCTTCCAGCACTGGAGGCCTCCCAGCGATTCCGCAGCATTTCCACTTTGGAGCTATTCACAGTTCCGCTTTCCACGGAGGCGGCTCTGACACTGTGCCACCTGCTGAGCTCCTGGGTATCTTTGGAGAGCCTCACACTCTCCTATAATGGTGAGTGCCCTGAAGGGAGAGAGTTTGGATCTCTCAGCAGTGCCAGTTGTGTGTCCAAATCCTGTGGAAGGGAATAGGGAGTATAATCAGGAAGCTGGAGATGTGACTCTACCTGCCTCAAGGGAAGCAGGAAGGCACATGTACGAAATAGTGGCAGACCCAGTGCTGTGGAAGATGAACAGGAGTCTGTAGGCTTGATTTACATTTGGGAGCAGGGGTTCTTGAGGGGCAGTGAGAATCTCAAAAATGAGTAAATTTTACATAGGGTAGGCAATCCTAGGGCAGGCAGGAGTAGTATAGTGTTTACAAGCCCAGCCAAGGCTAAGGTTGGATCCCACCAATTATATGAAAGCTGTACGGACAAGGTTGGGACACTTTTCTTTATGAGACTGGCATCCTGCAAAGCAGTCCTGTTTTTTTCCATGTGGCTGTACCCAGCTATCCAAACTTCAACTCTGGTCAAATCCAGCAATCTGCCTAGGTTGCTGAGGGCTGCTAGAGAAAATCACACAACTGTGCAGAATGGTGCCAGTGCACATGCACAGTCATTAATCTCATGTGAGTCCTGTTTACATCAGTTCCCATTCCTCCGGTACCACTTCCAAACTCATTTCATTTTTTAGCAGATGTGCTCACCTCCTATTTCAGATGAAATAAAAGCCATCACACATCTACTTCAATTTATCAACCAGCCTATAAATTCTCCTACACCTGTACTCTTTACCTTCTTCACAATCGGAGAGATAACCATCCTATCTAAGGCTCACTCTTCCTGTGCTCTGGATCCATACTCACCTTAGGAAAGCTTGTTTCAAGTCTATATTAGTCTTAGTAATAAGAGCTAACTTTAATATATTGGTTAGTACATATCTGGTGTATTTTAAGTATTCTCATATTAGCTAATTTAATCCTTGCAACAATCCTGAGGTCAAGAAACTTGCCAAGGATTAACCTAGTTAGTAAATTGTAGAGCCAGGATTCAAATCAGGCAACCTGATTGCAGAATTCATGCTTTTAAACCACTAGTTAATGCTGCATCCCTTCTCTCGAGTCTCTCCCCCATTTAAACATTGTTAGGTATCTACCAAATATTTATCACCACCTCCATCACATATTAACTACTGTCTTATTCTCTCCTGCCCTTTACAGATCCCCTTAAGAGTCATCTGTGCTGTCTCCTCTCTTACAGCCCACTCCAGCCTCACTTAACACACCCACTACTGCATTGAAGACCTAGGTCACCAAGGTCCTCCATGTTGCTAAGTCCAATATATACTTTTCAGTCCTCACTTTACATTGAATTGTTGGCAGCATTTGCAATTAAACAGTCTTTTTCATGAAATACTCATTTCTGCTACCTCAAAATATTCTGATTTTTCTCCTCCTCTGGACATTACTTCTCTTACCTGTTAATGTTCAGAATTCATCAGAGCTCTACTTTACCTGTGCTTCCTTGTCCATTCCCTTGGTTTCAGAGGCCAGCTATGCTGAAGATTCCCCATTCTATGACATTAGCCCAGGTCTTTCTCCTAAACTCTTGACCCATTTATTCAGCTGATTACTAGATATCACTTCATAAACCATAAGCTCCCATCCTGAATGATGTATACTGATCCTCCTTCCATTCTCAATCAGTGAAAGCACAGGTGACTCAGTTGCCTAAAAGAAACCTGGATTCTTTTACTTCATATACAAGTACCAGGTCTTATCTTTACAATCTTCCTCTCAAACCCACTTCTCTTGTCTCCACAGCCTTAATGCAGGCTATCATTACTTCTCACCTAGATCTATCATTTTAACAGTTCTACTCTGTACTCCCTGTACAACCCATTGTCTACACTGCAGCTTAAGCGTTTTTTCAAAAATGTCGATCTGTCACTCATTCATTTAAAAAACCCCTTCAGTGGCTTCCTGTCACCAAGCTTTTGACTTACAGGTCTTTCATGTTCTTATCCATTTACCTTTATAGTTGTATCTTGAACACTTTCCCCTCTCATTTTTTACACATCAGCCACACTGAATTTTTTTTCTAGTTCTTGGAGCTTGCCACTTTTTCTCCTTTAGGCTTTTATATATGCTGAGTTCTCTCTGCCACAATCACTTTTCAGCCTCCTTTAAGCCTGTGTCCTTCTGTTCTTTAGGACTCAGCTAGAAAGCCTTTACTGATGTAAGCTGGCCTGGGGTGTTAAATACCCACCCTTTGTACTTCACAGCACTCTCTTCCCTGTTCCCATCATGTTTTTGTTAACAGGCTATATAGTCACGAACAAAATCTGCTACTACTGTCTAGTAAAAACCCCTATTTACTAGGTGCCACGTAAGGTTTAATTGAATAAATAAATCAACAAGAGCCTGTTCAGTCCCAGGGGAGATCAGTCCAAGTAATTATTTGCTTTGTGGCATTAAGCAACTGCCCTAGCCTTTCTGGATCCTACTTCCTTCTGTGGAGAACATGGTTCTTTTTCTTTTCCATTTCCACTCAGTTTTATCTTTTAAAGTATTCCATAGTGGGCCATTGTCACTCCCCTGCTTAGTTTTTAGGTTTCCCAAGACCTATAGGAAAAGTCCAGAGACCTCTGCAGCTGTCTGGGCCTACCATTCAGCTGGCAGCCATATGCTGCCCTGCCCCATCGTATCTTCTGTTCTGTGATTCTGCCCTGACCGATGCTTGAGGGCATGGCCCAGGACAGTAGACATCAGTTTTTCTGGCTGCCTGAGGGAAAAGCAAGTCAATGGATGGATGAATAGCTGAGATAAGTGATTTTAAACAATCTCATCCAAAGCTGGAGAGATTTGGTAGTTAATAGAAATATTTAGAGTTGTCTCCAAATATTATCCCTGCTGACACTCCACATGACCGATGTAATCTCTTTCCTGCCATAGGCCTGGGCTCTAATATCTTCCGCCTGCTGGACAGCCTGCGGGCCCTGTCAGGCCAGGCTGGATGCCGCCTCCGTGCTCTGCATCTCAGTGACCTGTTCTCACCACTGCCCATCCTGGAGCTGACACGTGCTATTGTGCGAGCTCTGCCCCTCCTGAGGGTCCTCTCTATCCGTGTCGACCACCCCAGCCAGAGGGACAACCCTGCTGTGCCAGGGAATGCAGGACCCCCTAGCCATATAATTGGGGATGAGGAGATACCAGGTGAAGCACTGTGTGTGTGTGTGTGTGTGTGTGTGTACATGCATGCATCTCTACACAGATGTACAAGTGCATTTCTGTGGAGAAGGTGGGAAGACCTCTAATCCTGGCCTGACACCACTCATTCCTGGCTTGCCTGAGACCTGCTTCCTCTAGACTACCATTCTTAAAAATAACCATGGGCTGGACAGGGTCCAGACCACAAATCCAGTAGGGAGTGAACATGGCAGATCAGTCTCCAGAAAAGGGGTCTGAACCCAGAACAGAACTGTCTGTTAGGCTTGATTAGGTCCCCTTGCTGTATGTTCCCTTAGTTCTTGTAGGTCTCCTATCCCACCATTCTGCATACCATGTATTTGCCTGTGACTGAGTAGTCTAGTCTTAGGCCTGGACTAAAGGCTCCATAAGGACAAGGTCTACATCTCCTATTTAGTGCTCATTCCCAGAACCTACCACAGTACCTAGCATATAGTTGGCACTCAAGGGAAAGTAGATGAATGGTTTTTTAGTGAACCCCTCAAGGATAGGATGGGAGTGAAGTAGAGATGGCCAGCTGGAATCTTCTCTCTGCCGTATCTAGAAAACTGCCTGGAACAGTTGGAGATGGGATTTCCACGGGGAGCCCAGCCAGCCCCACTGCTGTGCTCTGTCCTAAAGGCCTCCGGTTCTTTGCAGCAGCTGTCCCTGGATAGTGCCACCTTTGCCTCTCCCCAGGATTTTGGACTTGTGTTGCAGACACTCAAAGGTAGAACCCAGCTAAAATGGTAAAGGGAAGAGAGGAGGGGACCTTGCACTGTTCTCTGGGAAAACTAAAGCATATGGCCTTTGCCCCCATCCAGAGTACAACTTAGTCCTGAAGAGGCTGAGCTTCCATGACATGAATCTTGCTGACTGTCAGAGTGAGGTGCTCTTTTTGCTACAGAATCTGACTCTTCAAGGTGAGTTCTTCATCCAGTTCTCACATGGCTCTGCCACTGAATGAACAAGCCACTGTTCTTTTCTTCACCTTATGTCCTCAGCTATAAAATATAGAACCTATATGACCTTCCTTCTTAAAGGTCCCAAACTCAACTCTTTCTACACTAAACATGGGAAATTACTCACTTTCAGAGTGTCTCAAGCAAGTTTTTCTTACCTTTCAGTGGCTGGCAAAAATGATGGTAGTGGGTAGGGATAAATGTGCTATGTCAGAGTCTCCTCACAGACTTGTCTCTAATCCCCACCCTTGCACAAAGGGTGGTCAGTGGATAGAGGGAAAGAAGGAAGTGAGTGGAGAATTGTTCACGCAGAGAACCTGCCTACAGTGAACATTGAGGCTCAGTCTCTGGTTTGAACCCTCATTTAAGAGGTCTCACACAAATTCCTTTCTCTTTCTGGGCTTGTATAAAATGTTCACACCACTTGCTAAAGGCCAACTCGGGCAGGAGGGGCAGCACCAGTCCTAATACAGCCATCAGAATTTATTCTAATTTCTCTTGACAGAGATTACCTTCTCCTTCTGCCGTCTGTTTGAGAAGCGCCCAGCCCAATTTCTGCCTGAGATGGTTGCTGCTATGAAGGGCAACTCCACACTGAAGGGCCTCCGGCTGCCAGGGAACCGCCTGGGTGGGGAAAGGGTCCTGGGGAGGGGTGGGGGAAGGGGCCAGTCCTTTGACCTACAAACTCAGTGGTTGAAGGCATGAACCACTCCCACTGGGAGCATGGGGGTTGGAATTTAGATTTGTGCTGTGGCTTGAGGAGGCTGGGCTTCCCAGCTAGACTTGGGTTGGGATGTCCTTGTTCTCTGTTCTTGGGCAGAGATTACAGGTATTTCTTCCCTTCTCCCCAGGAAATGCAGGCCTGCTGGCCCTGGCAGATGTTTTCTCAGAGGATTCATCCTCCTCTCTGTGTCAGCTGGACATCAGGTACATGTGGGCAGGGTAGAGATAAGGGATGGAGCTGCAGGGAGATAGACCAGGGATTAGTTGTTTTCAGGGTATCTAATTCATCTCACCCCTACCAGTTCCAACTGCATCAAGCCAGATGGGCTTCTGGAGTTCGCCAAGCGGCTGGAGCGCTGGGGCCGTGGAGCCTTTGGTCACCTGCGCCTCTTCCAGAACTGGCTGGACCAAGATGCAGTCACAGCCAGGGAAGCCATCCGGCGGCTCCGGGCCACCTGCCATGTGGTTAGCGACTCATGGGACTCATCCCAGGCCTTTGCAGATTATGTCAGCACCATGTGATGGGGTCCTTGTGTCACAGGCCCATGCTCAGTACCATCAGCTTGCAGGGGCTGAGGCATGGGCTGCCCAGAACTCCCAACCACCAGTTCTTTCTCTTTCTGCCACCTTTTTTCTTTTTTCTTTATTCCCTTGTACTGAGGTCCTGGAGGCCTTGATGAGGTCCAGCAAAGGCATTCCCTCCACTGGGTTAAGCCTTTGCACCCCTTACTCAGTATACCCTGGGCCAGGTGATAGTGGTCATCAGTCACTGAGGATAGCCCTCCTCCTCCCCCAGCCCTGGGCTTCCTGCTCTCTCCTCCACCGGGTATCCAGGCTTTAGAGTGCCCACTACCAGGCCTCTTCTCTGCTGGGCTCACCATGCTGCTCCCAGGTCTCAGTCCCTTTCATACCTTTATTCCTTTCTTTTTTTTTAACCAAAAAAGTTTTTCTTATAAAATAAATTTTGGGCAAACATCATGCAGCCCTTCATGATTTTTCTGCCAGAGAACAAAATTCAGCAGGGCCCTGTGGGGCAGGGAGCCCCTTTACCCTGTCTCCTTCCTCTAACAGCTACACCAGACCAACTAGTTATCAGTGGAGGCCTCGCTGCTCCTCATGGGAACGCTGGTGGAAGACAAACGTGATGGCAGAAGAGGAAGCATCCCAGGCAGCCTGGAGTACTTCATCCCTGAGCCCCTGCTTGTCAGAACTGTGGTTCCACTGAGCCAGGTCTGAAGTGCAATCAGAACCATCAGGGGGTGGCCAGACCTGGTGGTTGTTGACACAGCGGCGGCAGCGCAACCTGGGAACAAAGGACAGAGCTGTGGTCACTACAGATGCCATCTCCATGCCATGCAGGGAGTTCAGATAGTGGCCAGTGAGGGCACTGCACCCACCTGTCATGTGTGTCACTGAGGCTAGTCTCATCCAGAGTAAACAGCTCTTTCAACTCGCCCAGAGAGAAATGCCGCTCCACATCCTGCTCCTCATCCACCACACAGCTGCTCAGTGCCTTCTTGTGGCTCTGACGCTGAAAGATCTTCTCCTCAATGGTTCCTGCCTGAGGGGCGGGGCCAGGGATGCAGGCCTAAGGCATGCCCATACATAGGGGCACGAAAACCCAGGGGTTAAAAACTGTAGGCACCCAAGAGAAAGGGAGGTGCATGAGGAGTACTGCAGTGATACTTCTGCCAAACCCATTTTTCCTGTCTCTCTTGGGAACATGACTATACATGTCTGCCCACCCTGGATATTTTCTGTACCAGTGGAGGGTTTTCAGGGCCTGGCTGGATTCCTTCAGGATGAGCTGAGGTTTGTCTATAGCAGCTTCACCAGACCTCCACACCAAGCCCAAGTCTCACTCAACAAATACAATTTGGGTATTCTCTGCCAGGCCCTGTGCTAACACTAGGATACAAAGAATCAAGTATGATCCCTATTCTTAATCTCAGAGATGAGTGGGGAAACACACATATAAAGTAATTGGTACAATGACAGAAATCTGTATAGGATATCCAGGAGCCCACCAGAGACATGGTAGAGTGGAACAGTATTGAAAGCTTGAAAGTAAAGACTATCCTTGAGTTGACTCTTGAAAAATGAATAGATGGTTTATATGGGAAGAAAAAAGGGAAGGCATTCCCAGCACGGGAACAAAGGAGTAAGCCTGGCATCACTGGAAGACTGAGGAGTTCAGCCTATCTACATGATGGTGGGAGTATAGTAAGTATAGCTGGGATGGAAAAGTCAGCAGAGGCCATATTGAAGAAATTTGGATGCCAGGCTGAAGAGCTTGGCCTTGTCCTCGAAGTGATGAAAAGAAAAGTCAGAATTTTTGGAACATTCATTCTGGAAGTAGTATGTGAAGAATGAGTTAGGGTAAGACCATAGGTAAAGAATTAGGAAGCTGCTGTAATATCCAAGTGAGCTATCACTGTGACATTAGCATGGGATGGAGAAAAAGTTAGATGAAATCTTTTTCTAGAAGGTAAATGCAATGGTAAATTGGAACTGGTTATTGGGAGAGACAGAATGGTCTAGTAAGATGATGTCCAGATTTGGGTTGGATGGATAAGGGAGCCATTAAATGACAAAATTCAGAAGGGAATTGAGTTTAGTCTTGGTCATGTATCTAAAGTGATCACAAGACATTCAAGTGGAGATGTACAGTAAGTGATGGAAATACAGGTCTAGAACTCTGGTAAGAGATCTGGACAACATTTACAGAGTTGTCAATTTAATGAGAGTTTGTAATCACAGAGGAAAACCAGAGTGGAGTTTCTAAAGAGAAAAGAATTTTAAGATCACTAGTAGTCAACAATGTCAGATACACAAAGAAAAATATCAACAGCCTCATTTTGACAATTAAGCCAATAGTACATTCCAAAGTTCAGTGACATAAGTAGTCTGATGAGTGAGTAGAAGATGAGGAGGTGAAGTTAATCTGTAGGCTTTGGAAAAATCTGAATGAATGGAAAATAACCCAAGGCAGTGGCTACAATAGGGCAGAGTGTAGAGAAATTGTTTTGTTTTTAAGGTGAGAGCTACTTGAGCATGTTTATAGACTAGACTAGCAGGGGAAAAGAAATTGATCAACTTAGAAAAGGCAGGATGGGATAGGGTGTAGAAGCAGAGCTGGAATGAAGAGCCTTGAACATAGAGGAAGGGAGGTGAGAGAACTCAAGTCTGGTAGCCTCCATTTTCTCTGAAGTAGAAGACAAGGTCTGTGGAAAGAATGGAAGACAGGTAGAACACTAAAGGAAGTGGAGGCTTGAAGTGGCTCTTAAAGGAAATGAGATATGGCCCAACCTAAAATGGGAGTATGAATTTATGGTAATCTGTAAATGCAAATGTTACTTGGTACATAAGCTGAGAACAGCTGTAATGTTCCAAGTGGAGTGGGTATTAAGGAAAGAGTGGCTGAAAGACACAGTGAAGATCAGGCTGAATAGAAAGGGAAGTCAAGGCAGACAGGGGAGTGAGGGGAGGTACCGGGACATTAGAGTGAAGCTGACAGAGGAGGTATGGTGGGATAGGAAGTGAAAGTAGAATGTTAACTTGAAGTTTTCGGTACTGAATAAATCAGTATTGTTAAAGTTACAGAGTGTGGCCTTGGGAGAAACATGAGGGGGAGGTAAGGAGGTCATTAGAGATGAGGTTAAGGAAACATGAAGGCCAAAGTGCTGGCTAAGCGCATCATCCTTGAAGTCAGCTTGGATGATAGTCTGGATCTGAAGAAGAACGGAAGACTGAGTTAGTGTCCTAAATCATCAAAATTAGGAAATTAGCACAGAGTAGACATAGCAAGGAAGAGAAGAGGGCAGTCAAGTCAGACAAAATGAACTTCAAAGAGGAACTATGGTAGTTGATCTGAGGAAGTTGGTCAGAGAACTTGGAGAATGCCAATACCACTTTTTTGCCTCAGGAGTCATGGAGAGTGAGAAGACAAAGGGCTTCCCTCAGACATGAGGGGAAGCAGGTATGCAGTGAGAATGATGAGACCACAGGGGAGTTGTTTACTGAACAGGTGTCCAGAGGACCTAGTAAGAAGGGTTTGAAAGAACGAATGGATAGACACAGAGTAGAGAACAGAGTGCCAGGCTAAGTAGAGGGGCCATTGAGAGGCACTGAGAAACAACCCAAGGTGGTCCTGAATATCTTGTTCCATGACCCACCCCTACTCTGATCACTCTCACCACCCTTACAGACAGCAGCCGGTAGATGTAGCAAGTCTTCTTTTGACCGTCACGCCAGACCCGGGCCATGGCTTGTTCATCATTGGCTGGGTTCCAGTCAGGGTCAAACATGACCAGTCGGTTAGCCCCAATGAGATTGAGGCCACAGCCCCCAGCTTTGCTGCTCAGCATGAAGACAAAGTCAGGGCTCTGAAAGGAGAGGAAGCAGAAGAAAAAGAACATCTTACAGCCAGAAGTGGAATCCTACTCAGCCTAGTCAACTATTCTTTCTCCACAGTCAGTTCCCAGATCAGCCATCACCAATTAGCCTAACCCTACCACACCCACCAGAAAAGAAAAAAAAATCAAAGGCAACCTTAAAACAGATCCCTCTTATAGCTTCTCTATCAACCTTTAATTCTGATGTTACTTCATTAGTGGTATGGGGACTGGGCTGTGCAGTTACCAATGGATTGTTGAAGCGCTCCACAATCTTCGCTCGCTTCTTAATGGACATTGTACCATCCAGGCGGACATACAAGTACCTGAAGGAAAATACAAAGATCAAAACCCCATTCCCAAAGGGAAATAACTAACCATGCTTGAGGCTATTCATGCACAGCCTGAGGCCCTAACCTCCCAAAGGGAGGGGCAGATAGCAAGGGGCCAGGACTCTGTCCTGCTGGAGTACCTGAAGGACTGGGGCGATTCTGGTTGGAGACAGAGCTAGGACCACTGCAGCAACAAGGGAATAGATATCTTTTGGGAAGGCTCTCCTGCACCCACATTTTAGCCCACATCCACCAATCAGAACACCTGATCTTCCTAGGGGGATGATAGGGGAGGCACCCCTTTGACAGCCTGCCTAGGCTCTTCCCTACCTTCGGGCCCGACAGAGCTTCTCGAAGAGGTCCAGTGTCTGGGTGTAATTGGATACCAGCACTACCTTGTCACTGCTGCGGCTTCGGGTCACCGCCAAAATGTAATCAAGGACCAGCATCTTACCTGGGGAGGCCAGCAATAATTAGCCCCCAGTAGCTCCTAATGGCCCAGGATTCTTTCTCTCGATATCCTGACTCGAGACAATATAGGTCTAGCACAAAGAGACAATTTCCCACCCCTTCTCCCAGAGGAGTCCAAAGACTGGCAGGAAAGGCTCACCTGACAGCTGGGGCTCTAAAGCCTTGGTGCTATAACCAGAGGGGAATATGTCCAAGGCACCTTCAAAGCCATCCTCCTCTTCCACACACTTGTTATAGATGAGAGCAGGATCTGAGAAAAAAAACACCCCAAATCCCCGCTACACTGCTTTCAGAAGTTTCTGCTTCAATGCTCATTAGAACCCCCTCTTTTAAGCCTATCCAGAAGAACTTCCTCAGCACCCAACTTGCATGGTCCCAAATTCCATCATGCAGTCCATGCCATCTGGGACCAACTTGCTTACTAGTGTGTTCTCCCAACAAGAAGGGAGCAATACCAGAGAGTGTAAGGTTTGATACTTTTCCTCCTGTCCAACATTTTATATGCACATATGTGCATGCATGCACTCACACACCCAGTCCTATGTACGGTAAGCATGGGCTGGGCAGAGGATACGCCAAATTTTCCAAAGCGAAGGGTCTGGTCTACAGAGTACACAATGCTGGGCTCATGCCCTGGGGAGGCTGGAATAACATGTGGCTTGTGATGACTCAGAACAAGTTTTAGTGAAGGTGGCTGGACCATCTACAGGAGTCTACCCTTGCTTGCTGACTCTCCCCAGGGCATGGACCCAACTCACGATTACACAGCTTCTTTAGTGAA